CATCCTATACATTAACATATTTTCAAGGTTATGATATTTTCCAGGTCTTTTTTTATTTATGTGATGTCACTACTTCTTAGACTAATAGCTTCAGTATCAGAAGAATTAGTAACAGCAAATGTGCATTCCTGATAAAATTTCTCCTCCTTTAAATCCCATCAAGTAACTGATCAACATCAACCTTTTCCTCATCCTTTTTAAACTTTTTAAGTCCCTTTTCCACCACCTATTCTGGCATATCTTCCTTACTGAGAATTTCCAAACAGCCTATGCCTTTGGACACAATGGTAGAGGAACAAGCATGTTTTGTCTAAAATGCACAAAAAATGCCAGTGTGGTGGTTGGGCATATTGTGCACATTCCTACCCAAATATCACAAACCAGCGGAATGAGCACGTGACTAAATGTGGATATCCTTTTGCATGGGTACCATTGTTTGCAACCTTCAGGCCTGTTCTTGATATGATGTATTTAAGTACTTTCTTTCAGATTACTGATGCCCATCAAAAAAGATTTCAACAGCTTTGCTTTAGAGCCATGGAGAAATCCATATGCATGTGCTCCTGTGTTTGTCTGGGAGACACAAGTCTATAAATCATTCTTCATAAATGACAATTTATGGTCTCTCCACATGTTCTGTCTCTGGCTCCCCTGCCAGTCATACCCAATTTTCCAAATCTAATCCTTCAAATGTTGTCCTTTTGTCTTGTTTTAAATGCAACCGATAAAGTGAACTGGCATTAAATCAGACCAAAAAATTCTTTTCCTGGTAAACACCCAGTTGGACCCATTTCCTGGTCTGTCTTTAAGGAAGAATATTCACAATCTAATATTTTATTTTTTTTTTTTTAGCTCACATGGGATATCATGTGCTAGATGCATCAAAATGTACCTGAACTCAAGTTTTTAAAGCTTCCTTTTAGCCAAAAATATATTTCTGCATGCATTATCTATGTGTTACACCATGGTGAGCCCTCTTCACAGAAGCGTGAAGGAGAACTGAGTAAGAAGCTCACATGTTTCTCTGATGAAAAAAGTAGCAAGAAAGAAGAATCCTATTCAATCAGCAACAGCAGCACTGCAATTAAAATATTTTCATAGGTATTCTACAAAGTCATTCAAAATTTGCCCTGAGAAATGAAACTTTCCTCAGGAAAGCCTTAAAGATTTCTGATGTAAAAAAGCATCCCCTTATGGCTATTTCAATGTCATTTGAAGTTGCTTATGATTATATGCATCAGAAACATACCCTTTCCAATGTATCTAGGTCTAGACATCTCCAAGAAGCAACATTTTAGCACTTTGCTTGTACTGAGATTAAAATCATCAAGTTTCAAAAGTTTTTGCCCTTTTGAGGTCAAAATCTACTATGCAAATAAGGGTTTCTATTGACCCTACTGATTAAAAAATGACAAGTGTACCTGTGTCACCAATGAGATATTTTAAAAACATTTTAAAAAAATCTGATTGATAAAAGTAGATGGAAAAATTAGATTAATATTTCTTGTTTTCTCCAATTAATTTTTATGAAGATGCCATTTCACCTCTAAAATTTTTCAATTAAAAATGTCCATCATTTTTCTAAATAACACTCTTAAAAAAATGAATAAATAACTCTTAAAAAGAAAAGCCAATATTATAACTCTTCAAAACATAAAGGTAGTTCTTGGCAAACAAAAATTAGTACTAATATTTTTATTAAAATCTGTGGGAAAGTATTTTAATGGAAAAAATGGAAGCCATCAAAAATTCTTTGCAAACAACCCCCCATGTTTTCAGTCATTTCGAACAGTGTTCAAAATTTGGACCAGCTGCAGATTTAACCAAATATATTGAAATTATATCTTCAAAATGTCTCTGAACATGCAACATAAAAATTTACATATTTTACATTCCCTTCTCCCAAACACATACTTGTGTTCTACTTCAGTAACCTACAATATTTTGAGACAACAAATGGGAGATTATATACAGCAGTTCTAAGGTGTCATACAACGTACATTACAGCATTTATATTTTTAAGGTATTTTTCCCTCAAAAAGCAACTTTTTCACTTTCTAACAAATACCAGACAGGACACTGCCACGATGTGCCAGTTGTGGCATAACCCTATGAGGAATGATGCAAAGAGAATGAAAGAATTTAACAGAATGGCTGATTTGCCTTCTATGTGCTGTTACAGTGGCTACTTTAAATGAGGTTTTGGATACTGGTCTCAAATCCATTTGCAGCGTAAGCAGGCCCCTTACTGTGTATTGTAATGTCACTCCATTGCTCCAAGACTTTCAAGCGGACACTTTCTAATTTTCCCAAAAAATTATCTCCTAAAAATGTATCCCACAGACTAATCTGGTTTAAGGAGAACAGCTGGAGCAAGAGATACTGGTGGATTAGCTGTGATGAACCCTATGGTCCCATTGGGCAAACATCGACAGCTTTACTAAAAACTGTATGGCAAGTCATTCTCAAACTAAGGACTGCTATGGATTATGGTTAGGAAAGAGTGTGTATATTCATGGCAGGCATAAACATTCAGTGTTACTTTATCAATATCAGAATGTGATCAGCTGTACTTTCCAGTTCTGTGGCTCTGTAAGAATTGATCTTACGTTTTATTGCAAATCTTTTTTAATACTTATTAGCTTAGTCTGAAATTTTTTCAATATTTACCTAGAATATCCAGTCATTCTTGAAAACTCCTTTTGGTAATATACACAAAGGGGAGATAATCACGGTTGTCAAAGTAATACATAATGATTACTCCAAGAAGCATTTTCTAGCATCCACCTACCTCCAGTGAAAATGAATACAAGCCAGATCCCAATATTTTGACCCAAAAGGGAAAAATGATTTATAAACAATTATATAGAAAAGCCTACTGTAATTCTCTGTTTACTATAAAAGTGTATGCAATTTGGTGCTGGGATTTTTTTTCAAACAGATTCCTGTGCTGTGATCCTGTGCTAGCCCTGAAATGCATGGGAGCCCTTTCACTGACTTCAACTACAGCTAGATTACACCAGTTTTAAAAGACAAATCATTTACATCATTGCTTTATGAGATGGTTTTTACAATGCTGACTTTGTATACAGATAAATCTTCCCGAAGTGTAAATCTGATGACACAAAATTTTCCATAACAGAAATTTTCCATTCTCTTTTATCTTCATTACTGTACTTCCCTATCATAAGGGAGTAACGGTTTACAGCCTAGTTGCAGTGTTTGCTTTAGCTTAATCTAAATAGTTGACCCCATTAAATCAATTTCAACTCTTGCCCTTTGTGTTTACTTCAAATGCAAATGCTAGGTTAGAAATGAGCAAAAACTTGAAAGAAACCTATTTCAAAATAGAAAACAAGTAAGTTAGACCAGAAATAACCACTGCCTTCAGCAGCGCAGATTTACTTGTTTAGTAAACTACATAATGCTGCAAATTGAAAAATAGAGTGTGACAGCTTCTGTTAACTCATAGTAATTATATGCTATCATACCTAACACCTAAGTCAGCTTTCAGGCATCTGAAAGCTTCTGATTGACAGGTTTTATTTGAAATTCTAAAAAACTTTTAAAAGAAAGAATCACAGTTAGTAGGTTGCAGAATATGCACTTAGTCACTATCAGTCATGCTCTCCAATCCCAGTGGGAAAATACAGTTCATTTTTAGTTATTTGAAATGTGGTGCTTTACAAAAGCCCCGAGATAAAGACTGTTATGCCAGATAATATCCAAGCAGCAAAAAGCATGCAGGGTTTAGGCTCCTAGGCTCATATAGGGTCCCCCATGAAAGTTTATATAAATAGTCCTACACTAAGGGTACAGACGTTCTTTCCAGTTGAAATTCTCTTTCCAGTTAAATATGAGGCGGAGGGGAAAGAAACGCACTGAGAAAGTACTTGTGCATGGTGCTCATGCTTTCAGTGATCAGCCAGATCCCATCTAGCATTTGTGATAGTCTTTATCTACTCAGAGAGGCAGTTGAGGTGGGTACATTTATAGAGGCTCTTCTGCTTGTGATTTGTAATTTATAGGCTCAGCGCCCAAAGTATTCAGTAGCCACTCACAATTACATTCACATAAAAAAACCTACATTAAGGGGACATTATCAAGGCTGTAAGGTCCAGTGCTAAATATTTGGGCAATGCCAAAAGGAAGGTGGCCTCTGCAACATTAATTCAGTCTCCTAATACATATGTATTGTAGTATGGCTTCTAACTGCATGATGACACAGTAATTTTTTACTATCCTACCATTTGCTTCATCAGTACATGGAGTGGGAAGTGCTCACTTAATGAGCCAGTATTAAATAATTTTCTTATGAGCTTTTCATCAGTGCTCCACTGAAGTATATCAATACTTTACAATATTAATGGATTTATATCTTCTTGAAATTCCTACTGAAAGAAAAGAATGATTCTTCCTGTTTCACAACCAAGAAAATAAGACATAAAGTGATCAAGAGCAAAAAGTAGCTCTTTATTTTGAGTGCCCAAGTCAAGACAAGAAGAAACTGAGTTTTAGAATAGTTGCTGTAGGCATCATGTCATGTTCCAAGCACAGCTTCCACCGATTTCTGCAAATTAGGCAACCACTTAGATACTTCCACTACTTAGGCATCACAGCTTCAAAAACAGCATTCAGGAAAAGAGAGATTGCAGCTGTTGAGAAGTTGAGAAGCTGAGAAAAGAGTGATTTAAGCTGCAAAAGTAGGAACTTTGAAGGTGCAATCTGTGGCAGCAACAGAGCTATAACCTGTGCCTCTGGGGCACAGAAGACAGCAATCTTTTCTTGGCATTATTCAGTGCAGCCCTTAAATTCTGTAGTACATGAGTCAAGGACCTCACAGCGAACAGCCTATTCTACTACCTGCTACAGATCCTCTGTTCCATTGAGTGATTTTCCTTCTCTTTTCCTTTTTTTTTTTCCTTTTTCTCCCTCTTCTTCCCCCTTTTCATTTCTCCCTTCCCCTGACATTCTCCTCTTCATTTGTACTTTCTTACCAGCTCGTCGGGCAACTCTTCTCACTGTGCCCACTCTGGTGACAGCAACCTCTGAGGATGACATAGACCGGAGACCCATCAGAAGACTCCGGTCTAAGAGTGACACCCCTTACTTGGAAGAAGCTAGGATCTGCTTCAACCTTGATAATGGTAAGACCACACCTTCCCCAAACATCATATGATGTTAATTAAAGACTTTTTTTTGAGATGCAGATGGACTAGGTGGTATTTCCTCGTTCCCAAGTGATATGGTGGTTCAGCAGACATCCAAAGATGTCATGGGAGTCTAACTACAAGCACCTGCATATGTATGAACAGGGATTCTTTTCAAAATTCTCCTGCCAGTACTAACTAAATTTTTTCCCCTGTTTTAGCCATGGTAAGCCAGTGAGATCAGAACAAAATAGAGTATATCTTACCCACTTCAGGCACCCAGAAACATGAAAGTTCTTGTGAACATTTACAAAGGGATTAGAGCTAACAGCAGACTTAGCTAATATTACAACCATGGAAGAACACCCAGCATGCCCCAAAACCTCTATAGGATTAACTGGCAGAAAACTATTGGTTCTGCAGGAACAAGTAAGAGAGCTGTCCCTCAAAATTCAGACCAGCTAATGTTACTACTGCTGCCTTCAGAATTACTGAGGCCTGGTATTCCTTCCCTGGTCTTTTTTTCTCATTAAGGTTGACAAAACCAAAAGATTTTGGAAGTAATGACAACTTAGTGACTTTAAGCAGGCTGTTTGTTTTTTTTTTTTTTAAATACTGAATTAAACAGGATAAACTATTACACTCCCATGCATGTATCAGGAAAAGGTTCTTCACCCAAAGGGTGGCTGGGCACTGGAACAGGCTCCTCAGGGAAGTGGTCACAGTACCAAGCCTGTCTGAGTTCAAGAAACATTTGGACAATGCTCTCAGGCACATGGTGTGACTCTTGGGGCGTCCTGCACAGGGCCAGGAGTTGCACTCTATGATCCTGATGGGTCCCTTCCAAATCAGCACATTCTATAAGTATTTTAACTCTCTAGTTCTCACTTTATGTAGTCCTTTTGTGCTATCCCTGTATTTTATTTTGAAATAGCATTTTTAATTATTTACATTACACTAACATCTCAGCAGTCCCAACCGAAACTGGAGCCCTAATGTGGCAGGCAGCCTACAAACCACAGGGTAAGACCATCAACATAAAGAGCTGATTACTAAACAGAGAAACAGAGATACCACAAAACGTTGTTCTCAGTGTGGAGATGGAGAACAGAGTCACTAATTTTTGCCTGCGGTCACATTTTTCTCAAAGACCTGCTGGAATATGAGTCCCAGGTTTTAAGGGATGGTCACTTTTAAACGCTGAGTGTGGGCTCCTCAGTCTCCTTGGCATTTTAAACTGCCAAGGCATGGTACACCATTCTGCTTTACATCATGGGGTTGCCCAAGGAAAGAGGGGAAGGAGATGAAAGGATGCACCGTTAGGCATCGCACCAAGTCTTGAACCAGCTGTGCTCTGAGTTTTGGGATGCCCTAGGCTCGAAGAGAGCAATCCGGGTTGCCAGGCTCGTTGCGCGGTGGCACCTCGACCAGCCAGGCCCAGTGGCGGCGTGTGGCATCTGCTTGGCGCGGGGGGGAGGGAACCACCTCCGCCGGGACCCTCCCCTGGGGGCGGGAAATCCCCTCCGCCGGGACCGTGCCCGGGGGCGGGGGGCAGGCAGGCAGGGTTGGGGACAGGGGTCACCGCTCCGTCCGCCTGGAGCGAAGGCGGGCGGGACACGGCGGGGGCAGCGGGCAGGGCCGCCGCGGCCGCTCCCGTCCGCAGATCCTTGACGGGTTTTCCCTGTCTCTCCCCCTCCCTCCCCGCGCTCCTTTCTCCCTTTCCCTCTCTCCCTCTCTCCTTCCCCGTCCTGCCCTCCCCCTCCCCGCGCCTCTCTCCCTCCTCCCCTCCCCTGTCTCCCCCTCCGCCCCCTCGTCGCCCGGCCGCCCCGCGCCGCCGCTCGCCCTCGCCAGCTCGCCGGGCCACGCTGCTCACCGTGCCCACATTAATGGCGGCATCTTCCGAGGAGGACATCGACCGCAGACCCATCCGCCGCGTCCGCTCCAAGAGCGACACCCCCTACCTCGCCGAGGCCCGCATCTCCTTCAACCTCGACACAGGTGAGAGGCGGCCCGGCCCGGCCAGCGGCGGGGGCAGCAGGGAGGGAAGGGGCCGCCCCCACTCTCCTCCCCCACCAGCGCTCACGGGCTCCCTGGGCTCTGCTGCCTGGCCCTGCCCAGGTGCCCGCGCCTTCGCACCTCGCCGGCCTCCCCCGGCCCTGCCCCGCTGGCCGGCTCCCCCTGCCCCGCGTCTCTCACCTGGGTGAGCCCGGTGCCGGCTGCCTTTCGCTGTTCAGCCCCTCGAAGCCTCCCCTCTCGCAGAGCGCCGCCCTCTCGCCCTGCAGAGCGTCGTGCCGCATCCCCACAAGGCTCCTGCTCTGCCCCTCCTCACCAGGTTCTTCTGGCGTCCCTCCTGGAGACGCTGACCTTGGCGTTTTACAGTACTCTCCCTGTCTCACTCTTTGCTTTCTTCCTCTGGTGGGTTTGTGCCTCAAAAGTGCAAGGAAACTTGCACCTGCGTTGTCCACTTTTTCTCAGTCTCCTGAGTTCCCCTGTTGTCTCAGGGTTGCCTTTTGTGACTCTCAGTGGGTGTAGAACCTGATGCTTTCTACCAACACATCTCTAGCTCCCCACATTCACCTCCTCCTGCCTGTTATTGGGATGAACCTCCTGCAGTTCTCCAACTGACCTTCCCGTCCCCTTTCTCCACTGCTGCACCTTCCTCTGTGCCACCTCTTCCTCATGGCTCCCTTGAGATTTCAGCCGGTCGCCTTCAGTTCATCCTGCACATGATGAAACTATCCTGTTTCTTTCCTACTAGGCCTGTGGTTTTCCCCTCTTTTCCTGACCTTTTCTTTCCTTATGGGCTCTGTCAACAGCAAACTACACCAGAGGTCACTTGCTTTCAAAAATGAAGAAAAAGAAAGTTCTTTCTTTAATTCTCTGCACCAAACACCAGAGTTCCCCTCTTTGGGAAGGGGGGAAGTGTGAGAAAGGATCTGTAGCCGGCAATACTGCAACCTCCCTCATGTCCCAGCAGTAGCACACAAAATGACCCAACTGTGTAACATTCTTTGATGCTGAGCCTGTCAGATCACTGCCTGCTGTAAAGGGAAAAGAGCTGCCTCAGAGTTGCTGCTTGCCATGCTGCGGTCTCCCCCATCCCTCCTCCCCTCTTTCAGCTGGCAGAAAGTTGGAGATGGCAGAGATGCGTTTTCTTCTCCATTTGGGGGTAGAACAGATTCCCCTCCCCTTCCTGTTATCCCTGCTGCAATTACACCCTTGGTAATGGCTGATATGCAGTTTGGTTTTATCATTGACAGAACGGTTGGTTACATTGTATGGCAGGTCGTTATTTCTCTCTGATCATGACTTTTAAAAATTACCAAACCATAGGTAAGTTGGGTGGCACTTCAGGGCACAGGCTGGAAGACCATGCCAGATGCCAGTTTTCAGCTCTGTAAAGAACTGGGAGTGAAAAGAGAAAGAGCATCACCATGCATAAGGTGTAAATAAAAAAAAGGCTGTGTATGATTATTTGACTGCTGAAATAACCCTGCGCTGACTTGTGTTCTCACAGGTAATGTTATGACATGTAGTTATAAATAGATAAACCAGTTAAGAGCAAGGCACCTTCAGATCACCTGGTGCCTCATATCTCTATGCTGAGCTAGACATGCTGTCTTTGCTACAAGTCCCAGAGCATGTGCAAATCTCTAGGTACCTCTTTCCTGCAATCCGCCAAAGAATTTGATAATTACACTTAGCTTCTTTCTGTTCCTCTCCTCCCCCTGGCTCTCTATAATTTGTGTCTTTACTTGCAAACCTGGGAATAGAATTCCTTAAAAAGAAATAATGAAAAGAAACAGTACTGGTATATCAAGAAATATAAATGAAAAATGTTTTAAGTAGTGCAAGTGTGTGTTTTCATTAATTCATCTGGCAGTGAGTAGTTTGGAGCTCAAAAAAAAAAAAATTGCTTAGCAACCAGTATTGAGTGAGTGAGCCAAAAAGCAAGTGAAACGTGCCACTGATACCCACTTCATTTCTGAGCTGTTGGGTTTATGCTTCTGTTTGCTCAGAAAGCTCAAACTAGGAACTCTCTAGTCTGAGGAAAAAGCCATTAAAAAATGTGTTTAGCCCCTTTTGCTCGGATTTGATAATGCCGTGCGGCTCAGGGTTTCCTTTTGAATCTAATTGTGAGGTGCAGTGTTCTTGAATTTATTTTTTTAGCTCTATGCGTGGGGAAAAATACCACCCTGTTTCTAAACCGGCCAGGTTTCCATTTGCAGTTTCGTTGCTGGTGTCGTTGCTGCCGTGCCACGGAGGGTGCCAGGTCGCTCCCGGTGTCCCGGTGCCCTGCAGGCGGAGGGGCCGCCCGGGAGCCCGCGGGCGCTGTCCGCCGCCCCCGGTGCTGAAGCCGCTCCGCCGGGGGTGGAGGCTGCGTGTCCCGCCTTGCCTTGTTCTCCCTCGCAGTCCATGTGAGCACAGGGGTGTGTGTATTTCTTTGCCTGCGCAAGGGGAAGGCGGTAGGACGGAAGTAAAGCCGTTTCTTCAACCCACGGATGCAGTCGGAACTAAAGTGACGCTTGGGGCGCAGGAAAAAACCTCTTCCTTACATGCTTATCACTTGCTTTCCATTTGGTGCATTCCATATCTACAGCTGCTGCTCAACCACTGCTTACAGAGCTATTTTTCCTGCAGCTGGTACAAGTCAAGCTGTGTTCCCCAGTCATTGTCTCCTGTGAGGACATGGTCAGAGCGTGGCTGTACATGCAGCTGCTTTGCTGTATTGGAAGTTAAAATCCACTTTTATTAATGAACCATAACCAGACGCAGTGAATACTGCTCTTCTCCACTCTTAATTACAACCACTAGTTAAGAACTATCAGGTTTTTATCTACTTCAGCTGTAAGTCATAATTATACCATTAGTGCTGTTATCTGTATTGTTGAACAACTGAGAGATTGCATACACAGAGTCAATTACACAATTTGGGTATAGCACATATTTGGTCTGGGTTTTTAAAAAAACAGAATTTGTAAGTGATTAACAGTGCAGCTTCTACCCCGCCCTGTATTTTGATTATACCAACAATTCTGCTTTGTTTGATTTTTCTAAAACATTCCAGTTTATTATGTTTGTTTCTAATATTGATCAATTAACTCACAATTATTACCTAGCATGAGTTGACTAATGCTGTTCGATTAGTTTTTCCTGGTATGTTTTTTTTCTGCTGGTGTTCCCAGACTGATTAAAATACCAAGTTGTTTTCCAAACTCAGGGTTATTCTCCCTACTATTATACATATGCAAATCCTATTAATCTGAGTTATGTGCTTATATTAAGAGGATAATTCTTCCCAAAGGATTCAAATTACCTCTTCTGCAAAAATTAATGTAGCTACGTAGCATAGTAAAGCCATAGACCAGTATAAATTCTTTTTTGCATATTTGATACTAAATCAGTCTGCATACAGAAATTAATTTTTAATTTTCTGAACAACTTCCTACAGTGCAACGCTAGAGGAATGGGGAATGTGCTCTCACTTTTGGGTGGTTATCTTTTGTTTTCTTTATTATGATTAGCAATCTGGCATTGCTCCATCTCTTAACATCCATCTTTGGCTTTTCTTACATATCTTCTTAAGAGCAGTTTTCAGATTGTCTTTCTGACTTTCTGATTCAGGCATCTAAAAGGTAATCCAAACTTACTTCTGAACACTTGGACCTCCATCTGTCCAATAGTGTAATCCCTTTCCTGGTCCTGTGCCAGCTGACAAGTTCAAGTGTTTTTTGTAGGTTTTGACCTATTACAGGTTTTGACTGACTTCTATTCATCCTCTTGCAAAACACTGTACTTTTAAAATGGCAACGCATGTTGGGTAGCTTTCGAGCTTGATGAATTGGCAAAGAATAGTTCCCAGTAAGGAAATAGACCACTTAAAAATTCCCTAAATGTTCCAAAGTGTGTGAGCTTTTCTTTTGCCTCCCCCTTCATGCAGCTGTTTGGGGAATCCCTGTCAGAATTTTTTTGATGTTTGTGTTAGGGGAGGAGGGACTATCACACTGAGTTGATCTGGTCAGGTTCTCTTTAGCCCTTCAAGTGTTAGTCATTATTGAAAGTATTTCTATATATACGCAGATACTCTTACTCCTTCCTAGCCAAAAAAGATGAAGCTTTGTACTGCAATCCTTTGCAAAGCTGATTCTAGCAGACTGGCCTCCTGTTAACTGGTGCAAGAAGTTGTCTTTGTCTCAGCTCCACAATCATTCGGGGAGGTCACCGAATGTCAACCTTTGTTTGAACAAGGGTGATTGTCTACTTATTTAACCTGGGAATGGAGACTCAGGGAGAAAGCAAGCCAATGCCTTGGAGAAGGTGTAAGCCCAGAATGACTGCAGAAGCTGTATGAGGGGTCAGCAAAGAGGGGATGTTCCTTCAGAAAGAATATATTTAGCTTCCATGCTGTGAAATGAGGGGAGAGGAGCTTTTGAATGTGAATAAATCCCTCCCACCCTGACTTAAAAGTGTGTACCAGTGGTGAACAGAAGCTAGAGGAGTGGCCAGCGGAGTGCAGGAGCTGGGCTCTGCAGATAGAGGGGGGAGAGACGTAGTGACAGATAGGACTCATTAGAGATGGTGCAGCCTGTGTTAGCTATGGAACCCAGCTGGCTCGCTTGGCCCTGAAGCGTAGCACAGAATTTTAGTGTACTGAAGTCACTCAGTAATCTCACTGAAGTGTCTGGATCCTCAAGTGATTTAAGTCATTTGTTGACTTCCGCCAGGGATCTAAGTCAGACTGTAGAAGTACACATCTCTGCTCCCCTTCAGTGATGAAAAATCTGTTTTATCTCTTTGTGGTATGGAGCCACATGTTCTCATGGAATGTGTTCTGGGAAAGAACTGAGTGGCTCTATGTAATTTTGCCATGTGTACAGAAGAAAGGTCTAGAAAGGCAAGTGAACTTGGTACCATTTACTATTCTTAAGTGGTGACGAATAAATCACACTGGGGAGAGGAAAAAAATCTACATCAGCCTGTGTTAGTGCTGCTGCAAGCAGAATTAATTCACAGGGTGTAAAGAGGGAGGAGGATGCTGGCAGAAACTGCTGAATGGCTGAGGCAAATGTTCTTGAGCTGGGAAATGTTCATGGTCGGCTGTTTCTGTCATGCAGAGCTGGTGGGGGAAAGCCAGGACACAAAGGTTGACTGTTGGTTTTATATGCAGGAACTTTCCTGGTCTGAACGAGGCACAAAGTTGAAATCCAAAGCTTCTTACATTTTCACTGTCCTGGCACCTTCCACTCTGGGCCCTAGTGCTTCTTACAGCCATCATGGTAGGCTGCCTTACTGTTACTGTTTGTATCGCTGTGTTTACTCCATCATCTAGCTTTATACCTATGCAGAATACTTTCCAGAGAGTAAAATAATGTATGATTTTCCTTTCTAATGGAAAGATAACATTATTTGTGTATTAGCCTCATACATGGTGATTTGTTTGGAAGGATATGATATATTTTTCTGCAGTGATCAATGAGGACTTCTTGAACTTTCATATTGCCAGTGTAAAATAAGAATATTTATACGGCTCACGGAGGTGGGTAAATTGTAAATAGGTGAAAATAAAGTGAAATGACTTGACTGGATTTTCTGCAGGAAATCTCCGTCACAATAATTATTAATTTTCTCCAAAACCCGTCATTTGATTTAAAAGTCTGTTTTGAAGTTTCTGAGTTTGCCCCTGGTCATCCCTACATATGATTTAGTGCACTAACCCAGTTAATCGTCTCTGCAGTCATTTGAAATGTTATCACATTTGGAGTTGTGTTGTTTCTTTCCTGTTTACCCAGTGTATGTGTGAATATATCCATAATAAAATACTCTGCATGGTTTCACGATATATGAATAAATGATCCCTAAAATTATATAAGAATTTCAACTACTTTGGATTTATGGACCTCAGAGATTAGAAATAATGTTAAAAGGGTAATCTGAAAGGCATATTTAAATTTTTTAAAATCCTTTCAAATTATGGTGGCTTTAAGATTTCAGGTAGAAAAGATTGGGCTCAGGAGAACAGGGAAGAGAAAAATATGCAGTCATTGGCCTTCTAATATGTGTAGGAGGTTTTATTTCTTTCTGGAGAAAGATTAGTAAAAATGCATGCGTGGAAAATTTCCACTTTCTTGTTCTGCTCTAATCACTCCCTCAGATTATTGTCATGGAGATCCTGTCACACTTAGGAAGCCAAATCATGGGTTTTGGCAAAGCATGTTTAATGCCTTTATAAAAGGGCCTGAAGAACTGTCCTCCTTTGCCATCAAGCGTTACCTTACCAAACCTCGTGCCTGCACTTTAAGTGAATGATGACTGTTAGTCTTAATGCTGCTTAATTTGGAGTACAGCTGGAGATCGGATGTGTGCCTGTCACTCATTTCCTGGCTGTTTTCCAGTCCTGGGAGCATGAGTATACACACCAGGAAAAATGAACATCCAGACTGAAAACCACCCATCATGTGGCAAGGATAAGCCATTTGAGATAACCAGCCCTTCCCTGGGCTAAGTGAAGTGGCTGAAAGCACCTCTGTATCAACAGGGTAAACAGTGTGTTTTGAGAGAAGAGATCTTAATAGCAACTGAGGCTTTAACTCTTATACTTGACTTTGGAGATCTTTGATTTAAGACTATGACCTTCACTGAGTGCCAGACAGGTTATCCAAGTTCTTTTAAAGGGGAAAGATGCCCCTGCTTCACCAGCTGTCATCCAAAACCAATTGTTTATGCAGGCCCTTTAGTTAACAAGTATAACTGAAGGCAATTTGAAGGAAAAGCATAGTTAGTTAAAAAGATGGAACTGGCAAGAGAAAAATTATATAAGATCCATTTCTCTGAATGCTGAAAGTTTTGATGTTTTAACCATTCTAGTGGCACTGCACATATGCATCAACTTTCTGTGTAAGGGGGCAGCTGATACCCATGCAGTCAATGGCATCAACATTGCTGTGGAACAACTGTGTCAGGAGATAGAAGGAAGGAAGTTATCTCCTTGCTTTGGGATCAGAATATGCAGACCTGATGTCTCTTACAACTGCCTGCAGTATGTGTGATTTTACGGCTGCTGTAGTGCTTTGTTGTTAACCTGGCTCTTCAAGAAAACTGATGCTGTGAAATTTGCCTGAGTAAGAAGTTATCTCTATGTTTGCATTTTGTTCAATGAGCTTGTTGGGTTAACACAGCCTAGTTTATTCCTGCAAGCTGGTACACTGAAAAATACTTTTATTTTTATTGTTTTATCAAGAACCATAGTTTTCTTCTTGGAACTAGATCCTTAAGGAAAATACATTTTTCCAAAACTTCAGATAAAATGTCAGAACTAGCAACCCAGTTCAGAATTGTTAGCTATAAAATTTAGTAAAAAGACAGACCTAATTCAAAGTAACAGGTATAATTAGCTTTAATTCTTAATTACTCTGAGTCAACTAATTGGTTTCATTGGGATTACTGACAGTAATACTCGGAGTTAGGCATGTAAGTGCCTTCAGAATCAGTCTTAAAGTTTGTAAGTTTTGCAATATATGACAAAAGTCATTAGTGCAGAAAAAATGTCCTGGGCTGTCTGTTTTCAAATATAAAATGTCAGTGTTAATAAAATATGGTGTTATTAGTGGTTATTTCATGTGTTTATACTTTAGACCATAGTATCAGTGTGAAATGTTATACTTCTGTAGCAAAATAAAACTTGTCTGCCTTCATGCTTTCTTGGTGATGAATACTCGTGACAATGTATCTCTTGTGGATAAGGTACAAAAAATGTCAGTTTTAACATTTTCATCATATTAATGTGATGTATTACATTGGTAATACAATTTGTTGATGTAGTCCACTAGAAATGTTTTCTTCTTTCAGAATACCGTTAGGGTAAAATTATTTATAATCATGCAATAACCATTTTTAATCATGCAATTCTGTTGCCTTCATTAGAACGCATCGATGCTCTTGTTTTATATTGATATACTGAAGCTACAGCTTGACCCTCGGTGTATGGCTGCCTTCCCTAGGTTTCATTGCAGAGCTAATGTTACTGAATATTTAAAAGAATAATTATTGCTTTACTGCAGACTTTATAATAATTTTGATATCTTGAAAATATAATCTATATAGTTCAATCTATATAAATGTGAATATGATGTTCAAAGAAGAATTTAATGAGTAGCAAATTCAGCAAGAAAATAGGGAGGCAGAATTGAAAAATTAAATACCTATGTTTCTTGTGCACTCCAGATTCACTGTGGTTTCATTCTGATTATGAAGTGCCTAAGATAGGGGGAGATTACGAGAGGTGTTTGCATATACTTGTGTTTTTATATACTGTATGGACACATGCCATTTTAACTACGATGGATAATAACTGCAGTGCATATTTTAGTTAATCAAAAAAATCTTGCTATACATAATTTATGTGCAATATCATTTTTACGATTGATGCTTACAGTACTTGGACAGACAGACATCTGGTTAATTGTTTATAAGCAAATTAAATACTTTATGTATTATTAAAATGAAATTTCATCAGGGCTAAATCTAGTTCTTTGCTAGAATGTTGGAAAGTCTGTTAAGGTCTGACTCAAACTTGATGCCTCAAACTGGGGAAGACCTGTTTTGACTGTGGCACTTGCCTGCCTGTGTGTGCTTATTTCTGTTCTGTGGATAAAAGAGTAAGGAGTCTACTGACAGATTTGAGAACTGACTGGGGTGCATGCCCTTGGGAAAAATGTTCCTATTTTCTCTCAGTGGGTCAAGTGTTACAACAGTGTAAGCCATCAGAAACAGTGTTAGGTTAAAAGAGTCTCTTTCAGGCTAGTCCCATTTTGCTACAGCTTTCCACTGAGTCTTAGGAATCTCTCTCAGAACAGAAAATATACCCCCAGTTAGGATGAAATGAGAAATTAAGAGTTATATTGCAATATTCCTTGAGAAAGAGATTACTCCCATCTGTAATGGTCCTTTGTTTTCCTCGCTGAGATCACAATAGTGCAGTTTTCATACATAACTTTTTCTTCTGCTTAATTCTCTGCTGTCTTGCACTAGGAAAGTGCTAGAAACAAATGCAGAGACCTCGACGTGGCTGTGCTTGATGCATGAGGCATCTATAACTTTTGGAAGAAAATGGCTCCTCCCCATGCTCAGCCTCAGTTGCGGGAGCATGTGTGCGTAAAGGTCATGTTGTGCAGTCTGCTGGTGAAGGGCTCTGTAGTTGACTATCTCTTATGTGCTCTCACCTTCTACCTTCTGTGGGGTTTTGTTGTTGTTGGCATCTCTGTTTTCCTGTCACTCTTTCCATTCTCTGGTGTTTATCAGGGCTACAGCAATAGGCAGCAGCAATATGTTGGCCTGCAGTTCCTTGAAGTCTGCCCCTACTGTATTGGGAGAGTTACCATACCAGCATTTGAAACTGTAAGTGGAAACTATGACTTTAAATGATCACCCTGCATCCGCAGGACCTCTGATAAAGAGCTAATAATCCACACAGTGCCTCCAGGAACCTATTTAAGGCAATCATTCCCCAAAGCAATCATCGCTCCTGCTCTCTGCCTAGAGAGTGCTCTTCTGGTTGTTGTGGATAAAGGTGGTTTATTGAAAATACTGAGGTGGAGAGTTAGGAATAAACTGCATTAAACTGCTAATGAGCAGTAATTGTTTATATTTAAAGCAATTTGGCATGTTCATCCATTCATGGACAATTTAATTTTGTCTTACCACTTTTTTTGTTCATCATTTCTTGTGACTTACACTACACATCAAGGTTCTTTTTAGATTTCATTGGTGTGCTGAATGTTTTTACAAAAACCTCTAAAAGTGTTCTTTTCAAAAATTGTTTTTTTTTAAATTAATTTTTTCACATTTACTTACTAGGTTAAAATAGCCAAAACCAAATGAAAAGCAATTGATCATTTTAATTTTCTCTCTGTGGAAGCATGGCAAAATCTTGAAGCATTTCAAAGCTAATAATAAAAAATTAACCAGGACTAACTTATTACATGTAAAATAATAGCCCATAATTATAAGACAAGAAGAAATCAATAAGGTTCAATCTGTATTTGAGTCTTATCTCAAGGCTTGGAAGAACAAACTGTTCTGTGCGATACATTTGATAAGATTGCTTCAAGTAATATTTTACAGAACAAATGAGTTGATAAATTATATTTATTTTTTTAAAAAAAACCACAAGATAGGCATCACTGAGTAACCTTAGGGTCTAACCTTGTAAGCTTTCCCCTCTGCAAGCAGTGCATGTAACAGCTCTGTCAGTGCTAAAGGAGACCCAAGGGGAGAGTGGCAAAAATGTTTGATTGGGAAGTATCATTACACGGATGGAACACAACTTTTTCCTTACAGCCTTTGTGACATAATAGTAGGAAGCCAGGAGAAAGAATCACCAAAATTAAGGCAACACAGGATATGTGGTGTCATTAAAACATGGCAGGGCTTACTAAACTTAACTGCTCGCAGTTAATGCTGCCCTAAGTGCGGAAACATGATCTTAGCAGGTACCCACCTAAGTGGCTGTATATATATGTCTAGAGGTATGTGTCATCTCCCTGCCTGAGAAGCGTGCAGGGACCATCTGTTAACCAGCAGGATCTTAAAAGGCTTAAAGTGAGCAGCAGAGGGATCACTCTAGAAGATGTGCAACTTGTTCTTTCGATTATGCAAGTCAGTGGCAGGTAGACCAGTTGGGAGCAGTGATAAGTTCCTTCACAGTAGCTGTTTCAGGATGTGTTTCTTCTGTAACTTTTGGCAACAGATACTAACATTTGCAGCCAGTTGTGATTTTAAATAGCGCCTCTTGTTGAGAGGGAGCAAAATCTGGGACCTGTTTGCTGAGATACATCCT